GCAGGGCTCCTACCGCTGGCAGTGGGTGCATCTCTCCGGAAGCGGCGGCTGGGCCATCGGTCCAGGTGGTTGAGTCTCCTGGACAAGGCAGCTGGCTCACAGTGGCCAGTCTCACAGCAGCTGCAGATGTCCCTGGAGCCTTCCACGGGCACCCAGCTGCAATGGGATGGGAAGCAGCACTAGCCTAGCAGGTAGGTTAGCTACCAATGTTCCTCCCTCTCCAGAGCTCTTTGTAGGCAAGAGGAAGGTGGCTAAAGGGGCCCAAAGGTACTGAATTGGAGCTGAATACAGCAGCAGCTTGAGGGCTACAAGGGTTGCCAGTCCAGCAACTGATGGATCCTCATTCATGTCACCTATAGCTCACATAAAATGTTTGTGCCTTTGGACAATGCTTGGGTTTGGCATGTTGTCACCCCTGAGTTCATGTGGTCCTGTCCAGTCCTCTCTTGGGCAACTTCACATTAGTGTTGAAATTCTCCTTTCTTGCACCCCAGTATGATGCACCAGCTACTCACACGTTCCTGGCTTTGTTGAAGGAACAGGCCTTGTTCAGGGGGTCGGGGGCCTGCTCAGCAGGGGTGACCTTCAGGTGGCAGGTGATGTAGATCTGTGGGGTGAAGTGGGAAGAGAGAGGTGAGGATGCTCCTGTGAAGCACCGTAACTGAGTGCAGCCTCACGGAGCACAAACAAAATCTTACCAAGTTCCTTGTGTCCCCGGCAAACCTGAACACGTCGATCCTGAACCGAATCATGTCCTCTCTGGGCCGTGGGGTTATGAAGGCAGAGCTAGTATCGTCTGACCTTCCATCCACCAGGCATCTAGAGACACAAGAGTGGAGTCAGGTGCGTCCCCAGCCATCACAGCAGCCGCCGGGCTCCAGAGCGGCCCCCGGCCTTACCCGTTGAAATCAATAATGGAGTAGTGAGGAGAGGAGTCGCTGTCTGGGCTCAGCGCAGCCACGCAGCTGTCCACGAAGAGCCTCAACGGCACGTGGTTCTCGGTGCTGACCTCCGCCTGGATGTTCAGGATATCGCCCAGCTGGAAGCCAGTGAAGGGCCTCTCCGCAGTCCAGTCCTCTGCAAGGCAGCGGCACAGTGAAACACAGAGGACTCGCTCCTCCTCCTCCCCGCACATCCCAGCGACGAGGGCCGTGGCAGGAAGGGGGTCAGCAGGAGAAGCCCAAGGGAGCGGAGCAGGGAGCCCGCAGGTGCTGGTGTTCACTCGGTGGCAGCTTGGTTGCCCATCCTCCTCCATGGGCAAGGCAACAGCCTCCAGCTGCTAGGCTGAAGGGCCTTGCACACTCCTGTGCTAGGAAAGTGGAGGAGATAAAAACTTTCCCTGCAAGGGGGTGACTTCCAACCTACCGTTCATGAGGCGCAGGGAGAACACCAGCCTCTCCTCTGCAGCCAGTGTGGAGCTGAAGGGAGCCCATGTGGGCTTGATCGCATTGCTGCTCACATTTTCCCTCCTGGGGAAGGGAAGAGGGAAGGATGCTTATTAGGACGGAGCCCTGGGATAGCAGTTAAGGACCAGGAAAGCATGAGGAGATGTTACCCTTACCTGGGATAGATGCATTCAATGGGGATCACAGCAGGGTTGGTCCGGATGATGACAGGGTTGCTGGCTGGACTGGGGTCATAGTTGATGAGTGTGCGGTAGATGAGAGAGTCGGGAGTTACCTGGGGAGAAGCAGATGTTGAAAAGCTGACAGTGCCATTACTGCTGCCCCACTGTTACCCATCTGCTCTCGTGCGATT